GATTCCTATGCTACCACCATGAAAAATTTACGTGATGCCATCAAGGAAAAACGCAGAGGAAAGTTGTCAAGGGGGGTCCTTTTTCTCCATGACAACGCGTCCGTCCACAAATCATGGAAAGTCCAGGCAGCAATGAGGGAGTGTGGCTTTCAAGAGCTCAACCATCCTCCCTACAGCCCGGATCTCGCTCCTAGTGATTATTTTCTGTTCAGACACTTGAAAAAATTTTTTTGGGGAAAAAATTTTTCATGCAATGAAGAGCTGAAAGTTCCCGTTTCTGATTGCTTTGATGGACAAGAAGTTGACTTCTATTCCCAGGGAATAAAATCCTTGGAATCAAAGTGGAATAAGTGTGTTGAGTTAAAAGGTGACTACATTTAAAAATAAAGTATTATTTTTCCCCTCGAATGTTTCTTTCTTAATCAGGTAGATAACTTATTGAGTGACCCTCGTATATGAGCTATGTGAATCTGAAAGTCTAAAATTATTACTAACCATTTTACATAATCCATTCTATTATATTTATTTAGTTCTTACCTTCCATAAAACGTCTTCCTTCTGATGAAGCGATGAGATTCTGTGGACGCGTTTCACAATATTTGGGACGACCTTCAGCACAGGAAAGGGACTTATTCACTGTACGGTGCGTATGGCTATACAAAGAGACTCTTTTTCGTCAATAAGGAAAGACCAGGAATGTGTATATCACCTATCAACAGGAATTAATTACGACGACTATAGATTTAATACTCCAAGTGGAAACCCTCATTGATTTTCATAGGTTTTTCCGGGTGAAGCTTTGCAAACCTATAGATCTAAACTTCCAAGCCTCATTATTTGGAATCACATTGAATTACTCAATGCCCCATTCAATTTTTCTTTTATCCCCACATCATATTTTAAACTAAACCTACTTCTAGCTTTGCATTAAAAGTACAATTTCGATCGTATTCATGTTCATTGGTGTTGGATGTGGGAGTGCTTAAGGATTCTTGAAGCACTGCACGTGCATGTGGACTGAAAGCTTTGCGGCCATTCCCCTACGTAATAGCGGCCCCACGGCCACTTCGGGGAAGGAATTCTCTCCTTCTGGAGAGGAAATAATCGCGTCGCCTCGGGGAGGATCTCCTTTTGGTTAGCTACGGGTCGCTTGAACATTTTTTTAAAGGCGGGATCGAGATTTTGCGACACATATCGTCGTTCGCACATATCGTACACGTTCACATATCGTACCTAGAAGACCGAAATGTAAAAGGTAAAAAAAAGGTAATCCTCACATCGCAATATTTCCTTGTGACATATCACTCCAACGCGTCGCATCGCGAGCGGGGAGCTAAAAAGGCGAAGTGAAAATAAATGAATAAATTACAGGGACAGCCATCATGTCGACGAACCGGAATTTTCCCTCGCGGCGGGAAATGTGCCGTGTTTCTTGGCTTAGCGGGGAAAATTCCCCCAGGGTTTTCCTTCACTCTTCGGAAATCAGTCGGGACTCCAGGTTGAAGCGCCTCGTGCGTTTCCTTCTGAGTTTCGCTTCCTCCTTCCTCGAGGGATCCCGCAAATGCAAGGAGATTGCCCCGTGCTCCGACGATTTTCATTCGTCTCGTCTATGTCGACCGTTCCTCGGAAAAGGAAAAAGTTACCGTTTCTCGTTCCGATCGAAAGCTTTCCTCCGACTCCTCTTCAACGAAGAGAAAAATGCAAAATTATCTCCGATGACTCGTGCAAATAATATTTATTTTCGCCCTAGCAGCATATTATTTGTATAGCGTAACATTGATTCAACAGTGATTCAACATCCGCACGTTGAACCAAAGGCTGAATCAATGTTGATTCATGATAATATGCCACTAGGGCGGTGACGCATCGAAACTGCATGGTTGGAATTTCCATGTCCGCCGTAGTTGCCTTATCAGTAGTGCATCTGATGCAGTTCCAGTTCCATTTCTATCTTACGTCAAAGGAATCATTACAGTTTGACTTGTCAAGTCTTTCTTCTCATTCATAAGGGACACCACGTTTGTGCATGATATGACGTGGACATGAATGCGAAGGGAAATCAACTCAGGAACACTTAATGAAAAATGTTCTAGTTTTTCCAAACCTTATAATCAAGGGCAAAAAGCGCCGTTTACTTTCGTTCTCTTTTTCTCGTGAAAATTAAGTTTATTCACTCTTCTTTCAACATCCGGGATAAACACTGCTCGTTTCCACCTGCCGAACCACCTTGAAAGAAAACAAACATGGAATATTATTTATTCCGTTCCCCCGTCCAAGTTCAACAAGGCAAGCACACTAGACAAGTCTGTTCCTCCTGGTAGATTGAAGCGAGGAGGAACAGAGAGAGCAAGGAGGTCAGGGAGAGCAGGGAAGAGCAAGGAGAGCAGGGAAAGCCGGGCAATACCGGAGAATCTGAGGTTTGGGGACTTGCAATTTTGGACGACGGTGCAGGTGAGTGACCTGGTCCTTCTCACCTCTCGCTGCTTTTTCGGCGTTAGGTTTCAGTTTTCATTTTATTGCAATCTTGAGATTTGCTCGTCGTCAGTGAAAGACTAGTTTGTCTTCCCAAGAGACGTATTTGCGGTTTAAAGAAAAACTCCAACCCGAGCAAGCGATGCAAACTTTTCTTGAAATTTTCTTTTGCGAGTCTCGCTAACCAGCCATCCATTCAGCAAATTTTTAAAATTAAATTTGAGGAAACAGCAGCCATAGAATCTTTGGAGCAGCGAGTGGTTTTTGTTCAATGCGAAGAGTCAAGGATGATTGTTATGCGATCTTATATATCCATCAAGGCCATGCCATTCAAATTCCGACTTTTATTTTGCCTATTCATTTCCGCGATATCGAACTATATAATAATTTACAAAACTTATAGATTTACATTCTCACTTACTCTGCATTCTGTCCACGCCTTGCGCATAAACGCTACGAAATGAGCGGTGTATATAAAATCCGAACAACGATCAAAGTTGGCACAACCGTCACTTCATCGCCAATCATGAAAACTTGCCGATTTTTGTGATTTTTGCGATTTTTTTTCCAGGATTCCATGAGATGCCTATCCTCGCCATCCTCATCGGTGAGTTCGACATCATCGTTCAAAATGAATCTTGGAAAAAAAAGTTCAAACTTGGGACTTTGCAGTCCAATCCATGCTCTTACGCGGATTTATTTCAAATGTGAATTAAAAGTTTCCAATTACGTTCAATTATGTTTCAAAATATCAAAATTGTACATGTTCTACAACTACCTATTTTTGCACGATTCAGTCGAAAATGATAAAATTCTGAATGAACAGGCAAGACACGAATCAAAGCAAATTAAAATCTAAATTTCCTTCAATGTTTGAGTCAACCCATTCAAAACTTTGGATTGTAAAGCAAAATGACCAAAATTACCAAACGACGCACTTTTATTCCTTTTTCCCTGCCGTTTCCAAATGTATGCCAAGTTTTTCTTTCAGGCCAGGGAAGAAAGAATAAAAGTCCCGATCCAGACATGGCGAAAAAACGATGTTCATTTATGTATATGTTCTTCATGGAGTATTTTTTTTACTCCAGAGGTGTTTATGAGTACTCTTATGATTTGCAATACTGCAAAGTGATATTTACAATGTTAAACACAGTGAGTACTATAAAACCTTAATAATTTCCGTAAAAACATATACTTTTTTCTGAGAGCAGGGTTAGAAAAGACCCCAGAGGGGAACCAAGGGCCAAGGCAGAATTTAACACCGTCGTCATAGGATTGGCGATATTATTACATTAGGATTCAGTTACATACCCTTACGAAAAGGTCCTATGGAAATGCTGTTTTTTTTTCGGCTAAAACCCCGTAGGATTCCTAAGATTCCTAGGATTCCCCATAAGTTTCACACAGTATGCTATAGCATACCGTTAGGAGCCTATAGGATCTCTAAGGAATCCCATAGGATCCTATGGGTATCATAGGATTCCATGGTATACCTAGGTATTATGGGATCCTATAAGGAAACTGTAGGATTCTATAGGTTTCCTACACGATTCCTGAAAAATCCTAATATGAATATTACAGGTTTTTCATGCTTGAAAAATCTATAGGATTCTTATAGGAATCTTAGATGAATCCTATTGGATCTTTACACACCAAAGCAGAAACTTACAGTGAGGTACATACAGTATGTTGTACGTTGAGGTACGAACGCATGCCGTAAAATACGTTCGTTGAAAAGGTACCCGTGGCAATGAAAGTACACATGTGTACCTTTCTTATCTCTATTCATTTCGGGCTTAGAGGCGTTTAAAAACCTGTTTATGAACCTCAATCATCAGCTTCGAAGAGAGCTTCAATGCCACCATCATCGTGCACCCCGTCTCTGACAGGCAGCGAACTGTCACTGATAACATGCGGACACAGTCTCCATTTCACATTGGACGTGCCGACTGTCTCAGGAACAGTGTCTTTTCCAGTTATCATGGGGCCAGTAGGTAACAAGACCACCCTGTTCTACAGGGACGGTCTTTAAAGTTTATTTAAAGTTGGCCGCTAATTCTTCAGAGATAAAAGAAACTCGTAATCCGTTGGTTCACACTTCTCTGTTCCCGTACAAAACCCCAGCCTTTAAAATTTTCCAGAATCATTGATTGCCATTGAAACATGATAACTATTATTTTACCAAATACTGTTTTACAAGTATCATGATGAGATGAATACAGGGAAAGAAAGAAAACTATTCTCCTAGGGTGAGGTGCGCCCCAACTCGACTTCAAAAGTTTGGGGGAACATAAACGCCATCTTATGCCGATTTTGTGTATTGCATTGAGAATCCAAGCAACCGCGTCTGCAACGTATACATCTGTACGTCTGGACCACGCAATTGGACCCGAGGGACACATTATATACCTTTCGCATTTGTACCTCTCCTTGCACGTTTCTACTTTGCTGTGTATACAATCCTGTACATTCCTATAGGAATCCCATAGGACTTTTTCGTGAGCGCAATACTACTCGCTGCTTTTAGTCCTTCGAAATTCTCCCTCACGGGGACTTATATTTGTTAGACTTTTTTTTGGTAGTACTCAAAACGCAATCCCGAATCGTTCTTCAGGACTGTTGTACTTAAGTCACGTTGAAGCCCAGCCGGCATGGGTGAGGGAGGACCTGATGGAAAACTGTTACTTCAACTGGACCGTCCGGGACCGATTCCAGCGCATGCCGATGACCATGGGCAACCTCATCGGCCTCATCAAGAAGGTGGAACGGCAACCCATTGCGTATTACTGGGACGTTTTCACCATGGCAGCTAATCTACTTAGAAGGTGGATTACAAGACGCACGAAATTCAATTCTACATTTAAAAATAAGAATATATTATTGACTTCCTGAAATATGGAAAATTCCGCGCAGAAACTGAACGTGCATCATGAAATATCCTTTACTAGATTTCAGATTGATGGATTGCAGTTTCTGCCCTTGAACCTCGGAGGAAGCATCATCGTGAGTCGAAATGAACTCTTTTCCATTTCTTTCCACATTTTCCTCACTTCGAATTCGTTGCAGTCCCATTTCATACAGACCTTGAATCATCCACACTAACAGAAGATGAACGATATCTGTGCAAATATTACTGTTAAAATGAGATCCCTTACATAATTCCCCTCCCCCACTCAATTCACATGATTTCAAATGAATCCAGTCAGGCTCATCGGGGAACTCGAAGTTGGACCTGCTCTGGAGAATGAGTCCCATCGGAACGGCCGAAGACTTCCCGGAAGACTCGCTCACAGTCGAAGAGAAGGTGATGAATTAACGATCAGAAATGCGGGAACTCATTTTGAAAATCTCCGGTCCTCAGGTCAAATGATTTCTGAAGCATGCTCTGCTGATCTAATTATCGCCTGCAGGATATCGCTAATGGGATTTAGCCAATTTCGACACCGTCCGGGGCACCCAGTCCTTCCCAAGAAAACTATAATTTATTGAACAAAGTTCTTATCTTTTCCTTTAGCGCTATGAAATTGTTTATTTCATTTCAGTTTATTTCTGTTATTTTCAATGCGAACATTGCGAAACGGAATTCTAGGCGTACATCTTCAAGGTACGAGTTGCATTGCAAGAAATCCAGTGCTTCCTCCAGAGACATCCCCGTGTTGTTTGAAGTTTTTGGTGCAACTTCGTTTTCATAATATATTTTCCCGAAGAAAGATTTAATATGACATTCTGAAATAAACATGTGAGGCCATAACGGGTCGTCCTAGTGTTCACGTTTTGATCTTAACTTCGGCTCTGGAGATTCCTTGAGTTTCCAGGAAAAAGTTTTTTTTTTCTTCCACTACGTAGGACGTGTTTAAGCCTGTTTTAACTCCGACTTATGAAAATCCCACACCCATTCGACACATTTTGGTGCAACAGAGTTGATTTAGTTGGGTGTTCAAATCCCACCCTGTTGGAAATCCACATGTTGATTGCTCTAGGTTGTGGCAACACAGACATGGAGATAATCCCTTCCTTAGGTGGAAAGCTACATAGAATTCTATACTATCTGCGGGACTGCTTCTGGATATGGTTTGGCACGGATCAGAATGATATTAAGCCAACGTAAGGGAGCGAGTGAATATGATTTGAATATTATGCAACACAGTAGGAACCGTTGTTATTCTCGATTTCAAGTATTTGCCTCTAGTACCTTCATCACATTGCACACTGCTTCCGCAATATTATCCGAGAGGTGGAAATTATTCCATTAACACTCTCCATTGAAGGTACCCATTCAATTGCGGTGTAGGTGCAAACAGATTTTTCATCCCAACCCCAGCGTCTATTCCAACCTGCCTGCCAACAGCACATCCAACACTCAGCCTTCCAACACCTCCCCTCACTCCGCTCCCACACTCCCCATGCCACCACCCTTCCCATCTCCTAACGACTCCCTCCTACACTGTTCCAACACCCTCCAACACATTTTCAACCTGTGACGAATGGTGTGGTATTTTCCGAAGTGACATGTGCCACTTGGTAGGGTCAATAAAGCACGAAAATTCGCAGCCGACCTGTCAGGGTTGACTCGTGAATATATGCAAATGTTACCTTGGACGGTTACACTTTCAAACTCCCTCAGATAATGAATTAATTGCGAATTAACGTGGTAACGCTTTTCCGAGTGGATTTCTGATATTCCTGTAAATAAATTTTTTTTTTCACTGGGTTCAGATACAAATTCTTTTCCACAATAATTCGAGACTTCCAATATATTTCGTTTTTTTTGTATTCAATTTATTTCTCATGTTACCCAGTGAATACAAGTACAGCAATAATATTTCACGAATACTTTCCGGTGGTGAAACTTGACGCCTCCACCTCTTTTCGCAGTGCGCGCTGCACTGGATGCTTTCGCACAGCCTGAACGACACGAGGCGGCCCGAGGAAGTTGAAGGCTGTCACGATCGGGATGGAAGACAGTGAGTCTGAAAAGCATTTCGATGATTGGGAGGACACACTGTAGATATGAAAATGTAATCCTTGAGATTAAATTCGCAATTGTCGAGAGAAAAAATAAGATTCAGACCAAGATTTCAACATTGCATTGGGGCTATCAGGGCAAATAATCCATTTGGCGTCCTAATTGCATATGTCTCGAGAAAAAAAATGCTTCAGCACATCAAATGAAATTTAAAAGAATGGTTTGGTGATGCAACGTCGAATATACTTAATTTGGTATTCTCACAGGAGTTAATAAATATGCGAACATCTGTATAAAGTTTGCACGCATGATGTCCGGTCTTAAAATATTTTTAATAGGCTCACTTTTTGTCATATATTAGCGGGAATGCTATACATAATATACTGTATGTGATGCAGATGCATTTTGGCATTGATTTGCAGCAAGCGCCATGCGAAAGGTCGCAATACCACCCCAGACTACGAGAAGAGCTTCCACCCGCTGGAATACGGCGTGGTCTACACGGACTACGGGACGGTGGCCGCCGGGCAAGTCCTCATGGGTCTCGCCGTCAGGGACAGGGTCGCCAATGTCAAAGTGGCCGACCTCTTCCGCGACAAGAGCGAAATCGTCAAGTACCTCAATTCCGAAATTAAGATGGAAGGCTGGAACCCCATCCGGAACAATGAACAGAGAGAGCGCATGCAGAGTACCGTCATCACGGCCTACTACGCTGCTACAATCGCGGGTTCGCATCAACTTTTTCACATGAACGTATTTTAATTCACGAACGGTTTTCTTCATGTTGTCATGAGGTTAGAAAGCGGGACCTCGGTGCCAGAGAATATGTTTCGTTTACCTACCATATTTCCGGAAAAACATATTTCCAATATGGACTCAATCTCAGAAACAGTTACAATCGGTTAAAAATCGTAACACTAGTCTGTAACACTAGCCAACGATCAAGATACCGATTCGTACTTTATTTACAACTTTGCCTCAGCGAACGTGTTGCGCCTCTGCGAGTGTTTCTAAACCAAGTCCAAAATGCAATATGTTTTCTGGACCTTTGGTATTTCAAACAAGAACGATTTTCGCCTGTTTAAATGACAGAACTCGTTTCCATGATCACTAAAGATATCGACAACGGCACTTCATCCCGCTTCCATGTTTAAATCCCTCATCCTGGCGAGTTCTTCGGTCAGAAGTTCACCTGAAGGCATATGAAGGGATATGAAGAGATCTAAGAGGCTGGTGCGGATATGATGCTTTCGCCTTTGAAGGCTCGTCGCGTTTCTGAACCTGGGAGAAGTGATGCTGCATCTGTGCGAGCGACTCTATCGACGTGCATGCACACGTGATTGCAGGAAAATAATTACAACAATCGATCGAAACCTCTGAAGCGCGATTCGAATCCGGATCGGAGATCCAACATGGATCCACTTCGAATGCGGATCTTGTCCGACAAGTTCCAACGCTCATAAGAAAGGCGTGTAAAAAACCATTGCATCTCCAAAAATCCGCGAAATGAAAGTAGGATAGTAAATGCATCAGCAGCGGAAAAGTCATCGTCCTTTTCATCGACTCCTCGGACGCGATCTGCTGCGTCCAGGCCTGATCGCAGCTCACTTTCCGCACCAGCGCCCAAAGATCTTAAAATTCCATTTTGCCAAACTTAATTTCGGATCTAATTAGCTAATTAAGGTGCTGCCTAAAAGCGAATGATCTGATGGTCTCACTTGCAAGAACTCGCGACGATCATTCATGAATAAAAGTTCCATTAGAGACTTCTTGAACATGACCATGTGTCTCATTTGTACATGCTACTTTTCATGCAAATTCACATCAAGTCAACACAATCATTAATTTCCCCCCATAAATTTCATTAAAATTAAATTTCGCGAATTCTTCAGGTCCCTTGAAAAGTTTTGCACGTCTAGTTAACGTTATTTCTGAGATGTAGCGACTTGAATGTTGCCGAACCGACCGATATTCGGTGAGATTGTCCTCGCCGAATCCTCATCATTTTTTTCCTCGTTAACGTAGGGAGCTGAGATTCGTTTCATTTTCAAGCTTTTCGTAACCAATTTTTTTGTGGTGTGCATTTTATAGATTCAATGAAAGTTCAACAGCCATTTAATTTGACATCTACCCTCAATTTGCAGAACACTTTCCATTTTTACTTATTGCAATTATGCATATGTTGCTCTTAATTAAGACTTCATCGATGCAGCAGGTTGGAATTTTGAGACTGCAATGGTGTCCAAATAGTCCAAAAGCACGTAGTCATAATTATGACTACGTGCTTTTGCTCACGTATGAATCAGTAAACTTGGAATTGTGCACAGGTGATTTGGCAAAGACAGCCGCGTACGACGCCGCGTCGGCGAACGGCTCGCAACAACTGATTGGCCCATCAGGCACGTGGAACTCCCTCACGCGGATGGGGGAACACGAGCAGGTGAATGAGACCTCCTCGTCCAGGCTCTACCCGTCGGAGTACGCCCTGGCCGACGAGATGGACCGCGTCTCCCATGCCACGCACGCGGAACTCTACGGAGGCATCGACGGTGAGCAAGCCCAGCTTTTCCCATCTTGCGTGTGCTCGTAAAGAAGTCAAGTTGGTACTGTCGGGGTAGCGTAGCCGCCAAAACGGCAGCAGTGTGCCGGAGGATTCCTCAGATTGAGAAGAAATAGCTCAGGTGGATCTAGGTTAGCGCCTCCATAGATGGGCTGCAGGCATTGCGGCGCTCCAGTCGGCTAACATGTGCTAGCACAGTAGAGATTACTCCGAGGATTGGATCTTCGTTTCCGCATTTTCACCTTCACGAAAGAGTCCATCATTTTTATGCTGACCTGGAAAACGTTTCGTCCTCAGGGCTGTTGCTGGCAGTAAGGATCAAGGACTGGAATAGTTGCTCCTTGAAGCTATCGCAGATCCTGGAAATGTACTATTCCGACCGAGGAGTCTCCCTCAACACGGATCGCGTCTTTGGAGCCTGCAACCGATTCAATCTCACCGAAGCCTATAGGGCAGAATTGAGCAGTCAGGTACCTTTTCCAAATGATATTTTGAACCACGAAAGAAAGGGTTGGTAGAATCAAGTTCCCATCACGGCTCCATTTCGTTTCCATGTGATTATCAAAGCAGACACGGAATACGTAATGAGAGCACTTCTCATTTGGTGATTTTTTCTAAATAGAAGGGTTAGTGGGAAAGGAAACATCTATCAAAACATCAGATATCATACATCAAGGAGAAAAATATTTTATGACATGAAAAATTGAAAAGGTCAAAAGGAAGAAGACAGTGACCGTGTGACAGTGACTGCGACAGATGGGCTGCCCTCCTGTCCAGTTCACACAAAAGACGTTCACGTTCAGAATGAAAAGTGCCGGGCTCAGAATGTGGGAGCAAAGTGGCGAAAAAACGAAAGCTCGCGCACTCTTTTTGAGACGCACAGGAGCTATGTTGTCGATGGCCTCGCTTTCGCTTTTTTAGAAGTAATTCGCTTGTCCCGTGTCTTGAGCTTCTTCGCTGTATGTGTCGATTCACTATAATGGTGCAGATTCATTTGAATGCTTATAACAGCAAAGAGTTATATTGCTGAAACTTGTGTCGATTCCGTTGTGGAATAATTTCGAGAGCAAGTATACAGGACGGGAAAATCCTATGACTCATACTGACCAACAACAGAGATTCAGGCAGAGAGGGCAACAGCTCCCGCCCCATTAAAAAGAAAATAAGCTGCGGGAAGGAAGAGGCGCATGAATGGCAAACGAGCAGAGTCATCCCGGCTTCACTTATGATATCGACTAACTTCCTGCGACCAGAAATGAGAAAAAAATTGACCTACACCACGCGGTTACCTTTTCCCTAGACGCATGCCATGGCGTATGCTCTCTACGTGGAGTCTTTCGGTCTCCTCCGTCCCCCAAGGGGATCGTCCATCATATCCAGAATCAATGAGTCGGTCCAGAAAGTTCTTCAGCAGTACTGGGCGTTCGTTGGTAAGTACCTACATGTTGGATACGTCCTCCAGTCCATCAAGCATTCCATCCGCTAAATCATCTCGTTTCCGGAGATCAGAGCAAAGCAAGGCTACGTCCTGCGGAACGATGTGCCGGGATAGCAAGAACCACCCACCGGCTCCGAACGTGGACCTGTACGTCATTTTCGACATGGACGGTAGTGAACAAGAACTTCTGGAGGCCAAGGAAGTAGTGGTGTAAGCTCTGGTATCTTTCCTATCAACTCTAATAATAAATTTAAAAAATTTCAACGTCGTTACTCCCGCTTTCGAAGTTTTACGAGCAGAGCAAACAACTTTTTTTTTTACTTGTGTGGTTTTTGCATGCAAATACTGCGAATCTGGAAAGTGCATCTGCTCCAATTTTGCTCGGAGAGTTGCGAAAATTTGGAACACCGTTCGTTGCTGGATATGTGACCAGCTGCAAGTTAGATGCTAATTGTAATTTTTAAGAGTATCATGCAGATTCTATTCAATATCTTGAAGTTGCAATCGTTATGACTTGTCATCTTTGTTACCGGAACCGTTGCAATTGCCACTGCCAATTCAGTTATATTCGACGATATTAAGAAACAATTATTTAGTGTTTTCCTTGAAAGCTAATGAGCATTTCATCCGAAGAAATGTATCGTCTAGAGGAATTGCATAACGAGGTCTCCAAGGAGATTATTTTCATTCGGATACAAATCCTGCTCGTAATAAAATATGAAAGTCAGAAAATGAAGATATACATTTCACCGAGTATGGTTGCCCTTTGTGAAATAAGTACAACGAAGTACAACATAGAAAAAAAGAAGTTCCTAGGAAGAAAAAGTCCTGAGTGGATAATAAAAGACTCTTTTCAACTCAACAATAATCCTTGGATTCCAGCGATCTCGTGAACCGACTGAACCTGGCCCCCATGGGAACGAACAGGGTTGCCCTCAACATCTCCGACAACCGGAGGAATACCTCGACGTCTGTCTTTGACTTGGGACAGGAGTTCAACCCAGGGGGGTTTGCCTTCAAGCTGCTCAAAACGGATTTCAGTACGTCTTCTGGACTTTTGAGTCCGCGGCCTGAAGACTGACCGACCTTGGTGGGTCTTGTTAAAATATTCAGGAAACGTCAGTTCGAGTTTTGACTTCGGGGACGCCATGGCGCAAGTCCGTCGCCGGTTCCAGGAGGAACGCAAGTTCGAGCGGGACCAGAACCTGGGCGGGACGAACGGCAAGGTCGTCCTCTTCGTCGTGCCGAGCAGCAAGCCCGAGTCTAGTGACAAGGGCGTGGGGACCATGGAGAATATGGTCCGGGACTTCACCAACGACTTTCCCGGTATTATATATGATATCCGATCAAAGGGGTAACTGTACAGTTAAGAAACTCGTGTCAATGTTGGATAGCGAAAATTTAAATTAACGTGAAGCTGCAGGCTGCATTATTTATTCTGTCCTTGATCTCCAGGTCAAAACGTCCGCAAGAGTCAAAAAATATTTTTCATACTGAATCGGTGAATAATTATTCCTTTAGCAACGTAGGATTCGTCATCTTTCTCATAAGGAAGTCTGTATTAGGTAGGTACAAGGCATTTTTTCACTCTTGAAATGTGGAATTTGGTAAACAACAATTGGTTTGCCAGTAGTTATTATCTCAATTATATGTCGACATATCATCATTGACATTTTCTTTCCTTCCATCCGCCATGAAGATCAGCATATTTTTGTACTGCAGATGGGGAGGGACATGTCTTACGCAAGATGAAAGGGGATAAATAAGTTTTTAAAAATTTAAACTGCTGTCAGCTTTGTGTTGACAAAAATTTATTAATTTTCCTTACAGAAATTCCCCTGTTGTTCGTCACGAAAGACGCTGGCTGGGACCGATTTGCGAAGACACCCACCTGTGTCGCCATGAGAGTCTTCCGCAACACCGGGGAAAGGTTATACAGAGACGTCATTGAAAACGGTGGATTTTTCCTCTATGAATTCTCAGAAGGCGAAATAGAAGGCGACGGGGACGCCCTTTTCAATTTGCTTTTCCAGTTCCCACCAGGATGGTATACCCGGGATGCGGCCAGAGCATCAGCGACGGGAAGGACAACATCTTCATAGGACTCCTCGTCCCGGGGACCACACGGTACATGATGTACCATGGCTCCCGGTTGAATGGCAGTGAGAATCTCGTATTCAAGGTAAATTCTTAGTTTTCCTCTTTTTGGTGCCCGAAATATAAGAAAATTACAACAATCATTTTCCTACCTTTGCAAAAGTATTCAAAAGTAAAGAAGTAAATTTAGAGTGCCGTAATGAGCTACAATATTAATTTTCTCGCTGCACACTCCGGATGGTCGCGCATTTCAGTATTCAAGACTAAAAAAATTAATTAATACATTTCAAATATCAATTTAAGATACTTGTGATGAAACTCCTTCGGTGACAGGGAGTTTATACTTCTCTTTCAAGTTGGAAGAAAATTGTATTTCGGAAATCGTTCTTCCCAGAAACCGTGGTATAAAATTGTAATTAAAAAAAAATGAAATCATCATTGCAACAGGCGTCAAAAGTGCCTAATAATTTCGCACGATTTCTAATAGAAAAAAAAAAAAATCTCCTCCGAAAAAATATTTCCCTCCCCCACTTATGATGCAACTGAAAATAAACATTTTTTCTGAAATCAGCTTCTTAGGAGGCATGTTCGCATGTACTTTGGGCTCTGTAAGTCTCTGGGCTTTGCTGAAAATGAAAAAATATTGGAAAAATCCACCCAAGTCATACTCACTCACTCACGTTAATGTACAGTATATAATAGATAAAATGAAGGTTATAGTTCGTTTCTTTGATATGCAGCACATAGAATAAAATACGGCGTAAATATAAGATTGCTCCTTTCGCGAGAATTTCTTCGAAAGTGAATAACTGTTTATAAAAGCCTCGGAAATTTTGAGCGAAACCTGTCGAAACAAAGGAGAACAACAGACGCAGGCGTTATACAATGTGACAAGACGCAACCTAAGCTTACCAAGAGCATTTTTTATTATCAATGTTAATATCCCTATTAACATTGGTCGCGTTTGGGGTATTACCAAATATTGCGACTTTTGCCTCCTTTCCTTTTGCATCAAATATGTTTACGGTTCTATTGTAGTTAATTGGGATTTCGTGCGGCCAGGTCTTAAAACGGGTTCAAAGTCTCATCGAGACGAATTCTGTTGGGATTTTTTTTTCAGGTTAAAGCGCACGACTCAACCAGCAACCTCACCGTGTGCTGGGGTCGCTACGTCCTCGACTTCGGTCGACTGCAGCCCGAGGAAGATGGCTGCGGAAACACGTCGGATGCGAAGAGGGACAAGAAGGTCATGATCGAATTGAAGCACCCATGCAGCCGGAACCGGGAGTGCGACCCCATCTACATATCGGTCCGAGTCGCCAACGACTTCCATCCCAGCAAGGAGCCCGTCTGCCTTGGTAATGAATCCTCTTTCTCTTCGCCCTTCGGGGGCTGGGTTAGGATGAGTCGCATGATACTGAGCAATGCTGGATCTGACGCATGAACCTCACTGTGAGCCATGATTCAGGGTTGAGATTATCTTTCAGGTCCCTGTTGAGGTCCTGTTTTCTGATCCGAAGGGTTCAATGTCAAGGGAAATTAGTTATGAGCTTCGTGCATCTTGCTAGCTAATGAATAGAAATCACTTTTCATATTCATGGCTATGTTTTATGGGAATGTTTAATGTTGCTATATTCGTGATATAAGATACAGGACACCCCTTTATTGAAATGATTATATTTAAGTCGAGTGAATGTATTCCTTCAAGTCACCAAGCAAGAAACTCCTTTGTGTATTTTTTTTTCAACTATGAAGGGAATTGGATTCAATCACTTTTCAGCGATCTACATGATCATCTTGGGGTCGACGTTTTAGAAGTCGGAATTTCATGATTTTTACTTTTCTTCTTTTAGCTTCTTTCTTTTTTGACATTTTGCTGTCTGTTTTGATATCTTTCGCAGATGCCGCCACATGCCATTTCCCCGACCAGATTCAGTACTCCGTGCGACACAGCGGAATGAAATGCAAATGAGCCGACCATCTCTCATCTCCATATTAGGAAGTTAACCTCAGCCTTGTATAATACACTAATTTATGTTTACCTCCACATGAACAGCGCAAGCAGGAAATTCATGCATCAAACTCCTTTGTTTTAAATGTTGCGGGTTACTTGGACTGATATAACCCTGGTGCCATTTGAATGAGTCCCGTTGGAATGAACCCCAAGGAACGAGTATTATACATATACAGAATCCATTCAAAAAAGCGATAAATCGAAATGATTCGCTTCGGTGAATTTTTCCATTCCGGTTATTTTATTCAAGAGGGAAATGCATCATCTGGGGTTTTGATTCATACCAATATGTTCCCGACAGAGCCTGATCTCTTGGAAGGCGTCTACAAAACCGAAATGCGTTTTCAGCCGGGATGAGAAAGGTGCTTTTAGATGTCTTGCATTGTCTAGAACAGGCTTCTCTAACTCAAATCAGTCGGCGGGCCGCACCAATAATTTTTCACCGAAATTTGTGTTAACAGTCAATCCAAACGGAAATTTCAAGAACAGACTGGGATCCGGATGAACCACCATGTTTAAAACCCTTGGTCTAGATGCATGTGAACCTCCGTCTTCAACTTCATTGTGTGGAAGAAGGGACCTTCAAATTACCCTTGGTCCAATGCATTCTCTGTTTAGGTTTTCACACTTGAGCGGGTGAGAGTGCCTGGCCTCTTCGGCCCATCAACTTCCCTCCTGCCAGTGCGAGTAGCTCGTGCCCTGATAGTGCACAGCTTTTGGCTAGGTCGGCCTTTCCTAATATTCCTTTGCACCAGCAAAAAGGGCTAACTGATGATGCTGAAACTTGGTAGGGACGTTGTTCTCAGATGTCAGAAAAATAATTATTTTCCAGGTGAAACCCATGATGGCATTTTTTGTGTGCAAAAGGTGTGTTTTCCCGAATCTCTTTTGATCCAATGAAAGAGAGGACTAAAAAAATTTGTAAACTTGGAGCAGAAGTACCTGTTCGAGTGCTGAGAGCAGATCCTACTTTTCCATCTGTCCCCTTATGACAGATTATATAGGGATTTTAAGTTACATGCACAAGAAATAATCGGAGTAATTGTTTCAATGAAAATTTTTATTCCCACTCTATGGCATACATTTCGACAGCCACATACTTATAATACGTTTCTTGCCCCTTGGAAATAAATTATTGAATGAATCACCATCCTGGACAATGGAGAGCCAAAAGCGCGACTACAGCTAATAAGTAATAATAATAATAATTCTCCGATCCGAATAACGTATTGGGGGAATATTATTCTCTGTTATTTGATTTAAATTTGATATTTTTCATCTGTATTGCTCCGAAATACCGTAATGCATGAACTTCTTTACCATATGAGAGCTTGCTTCATAAGAAAGGCACTCCCTTTCCAATAATCTAGGGATTTTTCTCCCTATTTGAGATCCTTCTGATGCAGCTGATGCATTTTTTTAAATTCAAATAGGGCTACTCCAAAGAAGAGGATTCTGATTGTACGTGCAGAGGAGGTCTTCCCATGCTTTCAAAAAATGATGAAACTTTCAGAGGAGTTTTCATATCATTATGCGTTTCGAAGAACAGTGGAAGAAGGGTATGCTTAAGGGAGATGAGAGAGGCGGAGGGGGCCATCGTGACCTTCCGTGGGAAGTCCATCTTGATCCAAAACAGGGCAATACTGATACTATAGCATCCTTCACGAGAACGCTTCTGGGGTTGTTCAGCTAGTTGACCACTGGCCTCCTCGCAGCGCGCATCACGGCCTATATCTACACATTTTCTCTTTCCTTATTGCACTATGAAAGAATAATGGAGAGCAAAAAATTACCAGAGATATTTTGGTGTCCACTGTGATCTAATATGGATAATATGCTCAGTAAAGTATGTTCAATTTCCCAGGAACACTTTTGAAAGGTTGATGACAGATCTAGGGAGCTGCCTAAGTTCAAAATTTTCACCAGAAACAGACAGTAGCATATGTAGCATATGAAAGTAGCATATGGCACATGAGCAGGTGTTCAAACGTGTGAAGTCATTTTGAGTCTTTTTGGAGGATTCTCAAGGTTTAATTTTTTTGCAAATATACAAATACAGTTTCTTCGATCAGGGAAAGAAAATCTACTTTTGCATCGTATGATCCATCTCACCAAGCACGAATGTGGTAAGTGAACCATTACCACCTACTTACGGCAAATCACATCTCGTGCAACTCAACACCGGAGGAACTTGAAAGTCTAGCATAACCCATCTGGCTCCTCCATCTCGTAAGACATGCATGGCAAAGTCTCCGCTCGAGGGCGAGTATTCGGTCGGGCCAGCGAATGGAGGCGTGAACGAGGAAGCTGAAGAGACTCACAAATATCCCAAACATCAGGATGATGGCAAAAGTGGCTCCAGCACATAATCCCGCTTTGATATGATCTTCACCTAGAAAGAAATATCTCCAGAATCATATCTGCTCTTAAGAACTAAATGTTTTTGGCACGTTGAGCATCTCACAGCAATGTGTTCGAATTTATGTGTATAGATTCTTGAAATAATGTGAAAACCATGTGGAAGGCTTTCTATTTGCTTATTTTCAACCACCCTCACCCCGTAAAATCGAAGAGAATAGTAAATAAGCATTTTTGCGCGCAGAATTCGTCCGTAGTTGAAGAAACGTTGCCTGATGTTAATTATCCCATTCCATTTGTCCCTTAAGTATCCATGTCCTCTTTTGAGTCGTAGCGTTTAAAATTCTTCTATTCCAAGAAATACTTACTAATTTCGCAAGTTCCCACACTTCCTCCAGAGAAGTTCCTGCCCCACCACCATACCAGCTCAGTGGCTCAAGTCCGTTCAAAGTGGTAGCGCATTAGATTTGTTTTCATGAGTCTGTGTCATGGATCTGACGAAAGTTGAACATCGTTCAGTGATCAAATTCCTCAGGGTGATTCCATTTCAAATCAGGCAGGGCCTGTCAGGTCATAGTCTTGGATTTTTTTCAAAAAAATATATGTGATTCCCCCTTTCAAATGATGGAAAATGGTATATTATTTACCTCTATATCTGCA